TTATTTATCAAATTTTTATTAGTCGGAATTGGTTGAATTGAAACATAAAATCTTCACAACTCGTCCTTCTTTCTGACAAACCCAAGCCTCAGATATCGCTTGAACTTTACGTTAGGGTTATTTCTTATGCTGCCTACCCATTTCGCAAAAAAGTTCACCGTAATACGATAAGTAGACAAGGAAGAGCCAAAATGGCAGATTTGCCTGAACCCGTAGGGTTAGTTGACGTCCTCACTACAAGTCATATATTTTATTCGACGGATCCATATAGTAAATTAGTTGGGGGGTCACAAAGTTGAAAATCACCGGCCTTGGAAAGATAAAATCGAATAATTTTATACCTACAAAACGAAATGGCGCTATCGTGGGGATACAGACAATTTCATGACTAGGATATCAATTCCTATTGGATCACTTTTAGTGAATTCGTAATTTTGGCCCTGTTACAGTGTATTGGGTGTAATATCATTTTCAGATTAACATATGAAATAATCTTAAAATTTTTACGAAACCCAGGATTTTAGACTGCCAAAATTAGCAATGATGAGATAACTCATTCCTGTACACCTAACACTCTTTTAATTTCTTCTACATCAGCTAAATCCAATTGATTGGGATCGAACAGCTTTCGTAAGGCAAATTTTCAAAAAATGATCCGTGTGTAAGGCTTTTGCGCATCTGAAAAAATCACCAATCATACGATAACTCAATAAAATTCCCTTTTCAGGCACAATTATTAATGTGATTTTATGCATTAGAAAAGTAGGATAATCACATTAAAACTAGTTTGTTACAAAATTAGCTCAAAAAATATGAACATTGTTTGATCATTAATACTTCAACGTTTGAGTCTTTTTAATGTTAGAGACCCTTTTCAAGAACTAGCTTGAACATGAATTTTCATTTATATAAATCTTGTACCGTTTTAAATTAGGATTACGGTATTAATTTTTCCACAGTGTTGTAGCTTGAGTACAAATCTCACGGTAATGGGTGGTTATCATAAATGGTTACGTACATCAGAAGAGTTTTCGATGTAGAATTAAATTTGGGTCAATGCCAATAATGCTCTGCGTATGTGCTATAGCACATAGAATTTTGCCTTGTAGTCCTACGTATTCATAATGGAAAGCTTAATTATCCACTAATAAGTCAAATGAGTTCAAATCGAGCCTTCAAAATGGATCATCAAGGCTTAGAAAAGACTCGAAAATTGAAGAGCTATTTGATCAATCAGTTATCGCAGTTTTTTTGAAACAGCTTCGCAGAAAAAAAATAGGCATGCGAAGAGATTAACGGAAGGCGCCTTAAATTGCAAATCTAGTTTTTACCTTAATGGGTGTATTTTAGCAGTGGTTATACACAGTCAAAAGCCAAATAATCACTGAGTCTGAAAGCCAAATAAGATGAATCGATGAGGATCTGTTCTTCAACCTATGGAGCAAAAAAGGCAGATTTCCAGCTTGCTGGCTCAAAATGTCATTGCTTCAGTATATTTAGCCACAAATTTGCGAGAGTGCCGGGTGAGTGCATAGAAAAAGAAAAACCTAATTCCATCCTAAAATAGGAAATTTTCGAAAGGCAATTTGCATGCTGAGCTTCCCTCATTATGGGCAATTGAACTCAAAATAAGAATAGGTACCTTTACAATAGTGTGATTCACTGTCACATCGCCTTTCTTGCGTTCGCGTCCTGGTTTACTCTTTATCGGCTTCTTCGTGATATCCACTACTTCCGAAAATTCGAAAGGATCTGGATCCACTCCCGCGGGAGTCTCAACTTGTGTTGGTTCTTCTTCCATAGTTGTCTCAACAAGATTGGACGGTTGGGTCGAGTTCATCCATAACAGAGTTGCTGACTTTGAATTTTGGTCGCTGACATCAATAGACATTGTGAAAGGGTTCTTTAGACTAGTATCTTCCATTAGCAGTGCTGTTGTAATCGTTCCATTCTTTGCAGCTACGGTTATCTGTGGATTTTCCAGATCTAAATCGGCTAATCCCGACGAGGTGTCTTCTTCGTACACGCTGGATTCGTCCATTTCTCCGTTTGAATCGTAGGTGGAGGGCTCGAGAGGGACTGCGAAATCATAAATGGTGCTCTTAGCTGGTCTAGGCATTGGCATCGACTCCAATTCAAGTCCTTCAAAATTATCGAAGTCAGTTTCCTGAAACTGAGAAACTACCAATTTCTTTTTTGACACAGTTTTGTGATCTTGGTTCAATACTGTTGTCTCTTCATTCATATAATTTGAATGTCAAATGGTCTCTCTCCACTCCTTGAGTACTTAAAACTCTAAAGATTCAATACACGATCAATTCGAATCTTAACATACAACGCAATATATTAGAAACATCTTAGAAAAAAGAAACGATTGCTATGGCACTTCCAAGTTTAGAAATTCATATACCCAAGTTTGTTACGGAGAGTTTTTGAAACTAATCATGCTGCTGGAAATTTCTGACTGTGTTTCCCCTTTTTCCTCTCCACTTTCTCCCTTCCACGAGAACGAGCAA